GAATAAACTTCTCATCCGAAGATGAATTTCGACAGAAAGGATAATTGCATGTGGCAAATCAAACATTCTCGTGTTTAGCCAAAATGCCGGCATAAACGCCAATTCTGACGGAGGATGTGCTGATCAGCATGTTTGGCTGCACTTAGTTCGGTATTTTTGACCTGGTTTGTGAATAATATCAACTACTGATAATGTCTGCGACATTTCTTTATCACAGCAGCGAATATTCCAAATAGGGGCCCCAAAAATGGCTGAATACATCACAGGGACTTTTTGACGCGCTAGCAACTACAGTTATCTGGAGTCACAGCTGCGCGAGCCAAATCGGTGCTATGCAGAAATCAATTTTGATAACATAGGCGCGCAGAGCAAGAGAAGTTGGATGTGGATAACCAAACTAAACACTTGCGATCAGTGCTTAGAAGTATGCATTGAATGAGCTATACTTTGATATAGACAAGCGTGTCAATGGCACTGACAAGATTCATTTTCAATTTGACTTGATCGAAGATATCACCAGCGGTTAGATCCCGCAAAAAAGCCGGTCGTTGCAATTTGGCCGGAGCTCTGTTTTAAATAACCCAAAAAAGCAACCTGACCTGGCCATCTACTTGCACATGGATCGTGCTGTCTATGTCCAGATAATACCTTCCACTCAATTAAAATGATGTCAACATGTGCTGGGGTGTGATAAGGTGGTGCAATTTAAATCTGGAAGCAAAAGCCTTATGCGTACCTCCATTCTGGCTCTTACGAGTCCAGATAAGCAATTTCCCGTTGTCTGTAGCGCAGCCTTTGCAAAAGGCTGCACTTATATTCCTGTAAATACCATTGGGCAAATCTGCGTGATTGTGATCGAGTCTTGTAGTTTGAGCTGTGAAGAAGTGTAACTTTGATCTTGTCAAGGATCTACTTGCAAGATAGTACGCTCTCATTAAATTTAGAATGTATCACGTTACGGTCGTGAATTGCGACAATTCAATCCGGGGCGGCAAAAATGAGAATCAACAAAACCATCAGCCGATCCGGCGTATATCGCATCTCAAAAATATACCAAAGGTATACTTAGCAACGACGCAGAATGATCTTGCCCGAGTGATGAAGTTTTTATGTAGAACGACGTATTATATAAACAGATACCAAACCACTAAGAGCAAGTGCCGTTATGTCTGCGGTATCATGTAAAAGTTGCTATCGCGCTATATCAAATGTTAACGGTCGCAGCGAAGAAGATATTAAGTTATACTCTTAATACGCAAAAAAGGATGCGAAAACATCCTTTGCGCTCCGTTGGTTTACTAAAGCTGTACCACGACCCCGATTTCAAAAGCTCTAATGTCGACAGAGCAGTTTCTTCACCATCAACTGTCACTGTTACCCGCTGCTCTAAAGCTGCGACGCAGATTTAAACCACTGATGCCCTCTCAAGCAAACCTGTGTGAAGTAATTTATCAGAGATCATTTCCTACATCTAGCCCGTATCGATTTTGACGCCTGCTGAGCAACTCGGAAAAAGGCGGCGGCCGCCACAGCCCCAATAGATCATCAGAGACAGTTACGGTGATTATCCCGACCTCAGTGCCGGTAACGCGGCAAGCGACTTGAGACTGTTTAGACCATAAGTATACCTGGATAACATAGGCAAGAGTCGTGCCGACTTGGTATTGGGCCTAACATTGCGGTGAGCTCCACGGCAAGACATCGGAATATTGCCAGCCATAAAAGAGAGTATAAAGCTCGTGACTTGTACAGAGATGAAGAGGACCATGTTTAGCACGACAAGCCCTCCTTCGATGAATACCTGAACATGTCTTTTTTAGTGACTGCGATGGTAGTTGGCTCGAAGTCGGTGAGTCGCTGCATCGTGCTTATCGAAGAACACTTCGAGCTCCTCACGAAGTATTGCCTTGAGAGCGCCGGAGGTGAGGATCGCGCCTGTTTTGGAGCTATCTCGCGCTTTCTCACACATGAGAAAGCGTCCGGTACATATGCTGAAAGTAGTAAGCTCAGCAAAGTTCAAAGTCGGAAGCTCGATTCCAAGCGCAATGATAGCTTGCCTTTTGTGCCGTGTCTTAAAATGACAAAAGTATTGCAAGCTCTCGTATAGCTCACATCATCTTGGGGGGGATGTGAGGGAGGGTGCAACAGGATAAAAACATACACCATTCCGTTTTGTAATTATGTGCAAGAGACAATATAGCATAAATTTATGGGTTTCACGTTGCATCTTTACACAATTGCTATTACACTCATTTACCGATGTATCGGCATCTATAAAAATGACAAGACTCCGTAAGGAAGAGGTCCCTGGTACACGAAAGATATCAACCACTCGTCAAAAACTAAAAACAACCATATTATGAGATATAGCAGTTTATACATATCATGTTTTAGTATAGATATAATCAGTCCTATATATTTATCACGCTTCAAATAACGAAGTAACTTACCGACTTAATCACGGCAAGGGCTCTTGACGACGCTATGGGTTGGACTGCAGGTACTCACCTTTGTGTGTTCTCACATGAGGACTGTTCCAGGCCATGCTTTTTCTGTGCAAAGTGCACCGCAGCCATCTATTGTACCATGTTTGATTACCAACTAGATAAATCAAATATGCCGTCAGGCTTACAGCTCACATGTCGCGCAAAACATTTCTCCAAGGAGCCCCATTGCAACGCCATTGCCGCGCACTTACCGTAGAGGAACTTCTGATTCTTAGAGACCATGTAAACAAACGCGCAAAAGTTAGGATTGTGCGCTCTTATCGGAAGCAGATCCGAGATCAATAAAATAGCTAGGTATCAGCTATTTCAAGAATATATTATACATTATATATATTAGATTAATGCTCTCTTGTCTAGTTCTTGCTGTATACATTTACTGGCTCTAACAATGAAACTGTCTCCATTTTTTTGGCGTGCGGCAAGCTGCCCACGTACAACACGGACCTATTCTATTCGGGCCTCTACCATTCTCGCAGATATTGCTATTTGTGTGCTTGTTGACAAATATGAATGCATAAGAGCACGAGATTACAGTGCTTACCCCGTTACATTTTTATTAACTAAGAGCGGACAACTGTGAGGGTTCACACAGTTTTGTCTTTTCACACATTGCGCAGAAGTGACAACTTATGGGGAGGCTATTGTGCATGAGGCTTTGCTCCACTCTTCATACCTTATCAAGCCTAGCTCATCGAGCCATATATTTGCCAGAAATTCCCTCCCGTGCCCCTGAACCAGTCCTCGCAAAAGGTTGCGACCTTCACAAATGATGATTGGAAAGTAAATCGTGGTAACGGTGCAGAGGTATTCTCCAGTTAAGCCACACCGAAAAAGTTTCGTGCTCAGGTGAAATTCTTCAATTCTCACTCGACGAGACGCAGCCAGCCCAAAACGTGCTCACTGTGCTCAGCCCCCACGTAAATTGCACCGGGATGATGTCGGCGCTAAAATCACATTTGTCTACACTAGCATGTGGATTATTGCAGCACATGCACTTGAACATTGCTCACAAGGATTTGATATGCTTCTCACAGCTGCATTCGTGAACGTATAAACAAATGTGTCGTCAAATGAAATTTGTGCATAGTCTTGATGTGACACGATTAGCTGATGTAATCAGTCGATTGGGCCTCGATGTTGCATGTCAAGTAATCAGAACCTTCCGAGTATCCGATTGTAAGTCGACACCATAGTGACGAGATATTGCTCGCTTTCATGAGCGGCTGGAGATACCCATAACGAGTATATACACCGAGAAAGTGCAGCCGACCATGCTCATCGACAGAACTTTCTTCTTGAAGATTTACTTCCGCGCTGAAATAGTGGCGGCATTGACGTTACTTTCAGCACGCACAATTTGCTTTTTGTCGTTGACTGACCAAAACAAAAAGTAAGTGCTGAATAAAGATTTACTTTTTATCCCTAACACCGTCATTGTTACTTGCATGGGATAAAGTGCCAATAGCACCCCCCCCTGTTTCCTTGATTACGACAACCCCAATTCAAACTCATGATGCACCCCTCGCTTTAATGACAGCACTTGTGATGAAGCTCTTCTTAGAACGACGTGAAAGCTTTTCATCCCCATATGCCCGTCTTATTTTCGCACTATGTGATCTACGAGTATTCTCGATAACAGTCTCATCCATGATAGATGATGCGCTTAGCTTCTTTACAGGTAACAACCACATCCCTCGATATCCTCATTGTCTTGTAATATTTGGTACAGATAGTTTATTCAGCCCTATAAGAGATTCTGCTGAGAGCAGTGAGTCGGGCATTAATTATCTGCCCTAGTACTAACTATCCCTGTTATTTCGCTCACGAGTGAATAACAATACTCACCACAACTCAGTCGGGTTCAACGATCCTCACGGAGTGCACTTAACACAACACTGCTGACTTATCAGTCGATAAAGCTTTCGCATTCCCTTTGATACTCTTGTGAGTGCCAAGATCAGCTGAAATAGCTGTACTGATTAGAGTTGCAGGGCCACCGAGCATAAATCCTGATGTGAGCAATAGTAACGCTGTCGCATGATAAGATGCACCATCCATAAAGTATAGCGTAATACATTGTAATAATACTTCAATTTGTTCAATGACGTACCAAGAGAAGAGCAACATCGTTACCACTATAGGCTCATTCTGTCCGAGACTAATCCGCTGATAAATCACCAAGAATTGATTAATATCGAAGAGCATCTATAAATCATGTTTACATTTAATTTAAGACTATACTTGTTATCTTGGCAATTACGCTAGAAACATACCGAAAAAGTACCAGCTTGTGAGCTGTCCATGTGGAGTGAGACTGTTAGATAAAACGGAAGCCAAACGAACAATGCGTAGTTGACTGACCTAACACAAACAGATGTCATTGCGTATGGAAAAACTTGATGACAAAGACAAGCACATACCAACACTTTCGATTGCTAAAACGACTTAGCACAAATCCTCACTCCAGGGATGCACCATCAGCTTTTCCAACTTCTACATTAATTCAGTCTGATCTTTGTGGATGGCTACATCTGGTTTGGCGTCTTCTGATCGCTCATAGCGATACGCTACATCCTTTGAGTCCAGTCCAGCTGCTACCACAAGAGCTATTTTCCATGCTAATGCTTTCTCGACCAATGCAAACATTGAAGCGACAACGACCGTAACGACAGTGTTACCAAGACATCCATTTCCACTCCAGATTCCAAGTACTGCACCTCGTTCGTTTTCGTTAAACCACTTGCCCATTACTGAAACATTGCCACTTGATTGGATAAGGCCATTAAGCCCCCATAGTATCGTACAATAGCTAAGTGCATGGATATTACCCAACTCTCCTAATCCAAGGAGTAAAGCATAGCTGCTGTAACCCACATACCACCAGCAATTATGCGTCGAAGCTTGTGCTGTCTTTGAAAATGGCACGAACATACAAAATTGTCCATTAATCACATTTGTGTTGAATTTTTTTTAAAAACATTTGTCATACCTGACATATATACCAAGCGCATATAAAGTGTATACCGAAGTAGACCCTTCAAGTAAGAACTGCATGGTTTTTAGTCAACCCATGGCTTACGACGCTCAAGACAACGCCACATCTAAGATAATAACGATTTTCTGACGTGGAAAAGGCTGAAGTATCACACACTCAAATCTTCAAACATTGCTTGCAAGGCGCGCTGATGCTGTCCCAGAATTAGCGCTATCAATACCTCTGCATTCTATAAACTTTTGATAAACGTAATTGCACGATGCTTTTGAGATTATCAGAGCGAGATTTCGTGCCTGTAAAATCCTATGATGCTGATGTTGACAGTCAATTTTATTTATCATTGAGACCAACCTCTCTGGGAACAATTTGCTTCTTTATGGCTTGTTTCCATCAAACACAACCTCCACGGGGTATAATAAAGTCCAGTTCTTTCAGAGCCGGTCCTTTGTGCCTACTGAAGTTCGACGTTCCCTTGCTAGAGAATGATCGGGTACTTTTGCGTGGGGGTTTAACCATTCAAAGCTCTTAGCCGGAAAAAAAACGCCCGCAAGGCGTGGCGATTTGATTACCACAAGAAGACGTGGCTGATTGTAATGCCGCAAGCGCGAGTACGGGGCAGCTCGGGAGTAAAAAATCATTTCTTCTCTCTATTAGCATGGTCATTAATCTTGGCGATCGATAGGAGCCTTCGCTTTATGGTACCCTTGTGGCGCGGAAGCTGTCCTCCAGGATAATGCGGTATCCAGCGCCTTTCAAATGAGAAGATGAGGACGCAAACATTCTCAGTACAATCCACACTCATCCGAAAATCCTCCATAGAAATTAAAACCGTTCATGCTTTTGAAAGAAATTTGTTGGTACGCGGCGAAGAGATCTCATAACTCCTCAACATCGACCAATCGTTTCGCCTGTCTTGACAAGCACACAAGAAGAGCACAAAACTTAAGATGATGCGGTTCAAGCATCCGTGATGTAGATCGCTTCGAACCTTCCCAACCTGAGATGCCGTTTTCATAAATAACTTTTGTTGTCGTCAGGACAGCGAAATCTCTTGTTAGTAGGTCCGTGGTATTTCTCCAAGCAGACCACAAAACCAAACGCTATGTTAGTCTGTCCTGAGCAAGGGTGATTGCATGACCATCTCAGCTTCCGATATCCAGAGTTCTTACTCTGTTATCACTCTCAAAAGGCTGAGCGCTCAACATCAGCTGTGTGATGATTGGTGTCAAATAGTTCTGTCATCGATGCTTGTTTGAATGCTCTCGGAAGTGTTTCACTGTCGCAATTTCATACCCTGTAGACGAGCGATAACCATTTTGGCTCTTGTGCCACCGCTCCCCTCGCGTCTTCGGAGCAACAGCTAACATGTCTATGCGCCCCAGAGACAGATAATCGACCAATTTGTGTTCCAACTAAGCGTTACCGGTTCGCCGCGCATGAAATAATGAATCCTAAAAATAGAAACCACCTTATTCAACGCACAGAGATCGTGTTTGTACGCCCCTTCCAGAAGCAAAGGGCGGACACGGTTAAGTAAATAGAGCAAGGTGGAAATTTTGCTGCAGGTGTTGATCAGTCGCTTATGCACGGTGTCATTGAGCCCCACTGCGGACTTCATGTTTTGTTAGCTGTGTAAGCTAAGAACTAATTATATTCAGACTATGACGTGTTTCTATATCCAATAAAAGAACCATCTTCATTTCTGGCATGAGGCTAACAGCCCACCTGTAAAATGGACCTCTTCTTCACGAGATTCCATCATCTTAAAGATATCTATTCCGTAAGGGTTGTACAGATTTATACCAATTACAGCTGCAAAGAATCTTAAGGTGTACGTACAAATCGCAAATTCGTAATTTCACCAGTAGAACCTGAGTGGCACATCATGTGTTCGTCTTTTGGTTAAGCCATGGCTCATGGCGTACAAATTTGAACTTTCTTCGGACCGAACATATAGGCTTCAGATCTTTTTTAGAGGGGGGGTTCCTTTATCGACATATCCAACAATTGCGACACGAAAGATTTGTTTTAGGAACAATGCAACATTCACTGCTCCCCCAGAAAAGGTAAGCTGGACATCGAGGATTTTGGTGCGAAATGTATTTGTATGAAATGCTCGATGGTCATGATATTCGCTTCCGTTTCTTAAAAAGGGTTGCTCATCTATCAGACTTTCAGCCCTTGGAATTTTGCCTTCATAATATCTTAGCTCAAACGGCGGGCGAGTACCGGGTCAGGCAATGCAAATATTCGCGATCTCTTTCACTTGAGTAGTATTCAAGACGGAGCACCTCGATTACAAAAATATTGTGCGATTATACTTATCCGGTCAGCGTGAAGCTCGCTGCCGTGGCGTACTAATAAAGCAAGGCTGATTCCATGGCCATCTATAAACTCTCTATTAGCTGGAAGGGATGATCTGGTCTCTCCTCCAACGAAGTGACGCTCAACAGAAGCATTCTCGCTCTATAATGCTCTGAGGAAGCTGGTACTTCGTCCCTCCAGTGCATCTTTGCAAATGGTAAATGCCTCCAGGATACAAGTTCTTGCTCTCGGTCCTGGTCCGCCAAATGCTTTCTCCCTTCGAGGGTCTAGTCGTTAAGCTTGTGTCGCGTCTTTGTGGACAGATACGTGAACACATCATCATCTACACAGAAAATACAGTCATTTTAAGACTCGGTTGTCGGATTGAAGAGATTGATATTAAAATCGATAGTGCTGGATTGAACCTCTCACAGGGAGAGCTCAAACTTCCACATGTTATTGTTAGCTACCGCAAATAGAATTGTCTCTTACGCGCTACCCAGTCGACGAAATAGGAGCTTTTAAAGTATCGGCGACTTACTTTCCTTTCACTTTTAGAATAATGTGTTGTAAATTTGAAAGAGCTGGTTTTGAAGAAATACATAGCTGATATCTCAATCCAGCAACACATCTCTATGTAATGCTAGCAGCCCACGTATCTACATAACGGAGTCATACAAGCCTCAATCGTGCCGAGTAATCATGATGCTTAATCGCAGCACTTTACCATCATACTTTTAAACTTTTCGCTCAGTCCATGGGACACAAGTATTACGCGCAGATATTCTATTATAGGATACGTATTTCATTGGTATTGCAGAGCACACACATGGATGCTACTATGCGCAGGTTACAAATGAAACGTCACCAAGATTAAACGGAAGATTACGATCGATTTGAATAAAACTAATATGAATTTGACATGCTAACACAGTAGCATTTGTTAAGCAATAAAAGCGCCTCATGGAGTGTGTAGCTGCAGGGTCGAAAGTCCAAATATCCCGCCCTAAATTTTAACTAGGATAGCAGTGTTTGCTGATGTGAACTCCTGCAAACCCACTCAAAAATGTGATTTTTTGTAAAAACACGAAGGATATCACAGATTCTCCTCAACCGTTCCGAGGTGAGCACATAATTTAACACTTTCACTCTCTACCACAAGAGTAAGGCAGTCCATAAAAAACATCTGGGCATATAAATGAACAACTTTACAAAGAATTTGATTCATAAAGAACACAAAGGATACAGCGTCACAAAACTGCGTGGTGGTGCGACAAACCTAAACCTGTTCTTGGCACCCATATAGTACTTTTCATTTCAGGTCACATCAGCGCTAACTAAGGCTCCGTATATCCTACCAGTTGGTCGCCCATGTCAGCTCGACTGATGTGAAATCGTTAACAGCACCTTGCTTGTTTGCCACATTTTGATCAGCCTTTAAAACGTTTGTCAAGTTTCAGTCCGTAGTACGGACAATATGGAGCTGTATTGTGCACCCACTACCAATGGGCTGATAAAGAATATTGAGTGCTCACGGTTTTTTGGTAGGCTTAGCAGCGTGTTTTACTTCAACGCGGGGCACTTTTCCACATTAAGCTGGTGGTGTCATCTTGGCAAAATTCTGTTGTTAAGTCACAATTTGATGATTCTGCCCTGCACAATACACCAATCTGAACGTCAGTTGAAACGAGCTATGTATTATCTTATTACACGGCTATACCTACTCGGCCCTGACTAAGATATTGCTTTGCTTCATTCCGCTGGGGTATTTTTTTCTTGATTTTGATTATTTATTTTTCTTGTACGAGTCGCCATCCCGAAGTCCTTATTGGCTGTTGTCGGTAATGTTTAGCATGCAGCCAACATTTTTGCATGTCTGGTACGATTAAGATTTTGTCCGCTGAGGGGCTCGAACCCGCGCCACACAGCGTAGGGTCCAGAAGCATTGACCATTCGACCCACGCCACCGGGTCAATCTGAACGTCACAGGCCTTGCATATCTAATGGATCTATTTTGGGGGTTAATCAAACCATATATTGTCAAGATATACTATGAGCTATGATCGCCAGACTTGGGAATGGAATAATAAAGCTGTGTTGAATTTCGCGCTGTGACAGTTAAGTAGATTCTAAAATCGAGCAAGGTCCTACTATATCAGTAACATTGTGTAATCTCAACATCTAAATCACCTTGTGACGCCAGCTAAACATGTTCTGGATCCTAGCATCAAATTTTCCCAATCGCTCTTGCGCTCCTTGTGTACTTTATCTGTGTTTTCCTAAGCCTTACCACTTTGATCCACATCACTCGATCCTTCTCCCTTTTTTTGGCCGAGCTTCTTACTACCACGCTGTTGTTTTCTCTTGCACGTGATTGTATTTCGCCATCGCTTGTGCTTGTAATATAATTTTTTTGTGCGCGTCGACACGTGACACGGTATGTATATCATCATCATGCAATTAATTTCCATGTTATTGGCCATGACCTTGCCTCTCTGAACATCGTTGAATGCTTGTAGTTTCTCCAATTGGCTTGGGTTGGAGTGCGTCTGTGTCGTCCAGGTCACGCTGGTAGGTCCTCATTTAAAGGTTAGCACCGCAGCATCAACTTGTTCATCGAGAAGGTGTACTTCAAACAGACATTTCCCGTTCCGTTGAGGTCATTAAAATTAATTAGGTGATCTAGTCGGTATATACTACACGCAGGATGCATTAGAACAGCATTTTTGCAATCACAACGAGCAAAGTGGGTTCTGTTAAGCCTCATGGATGTCAAAGTCAGTAAATTTCCCCCAAAGAAAGGCAGAGCTCAAAACTTATGGCTTTTGGTCGTCAAAATTGACGTTTCGGGCTTTGATAAGTCGTGGCAATCCCGATACATTTGGGAGCTTCATGACGCGCGATTGTCGAAAACAGTTGAGGAGATACCAAAGATGAATATTTTATCGTTGCGTCTTGCGACGGACGCGCCGATTTAAGTGTCCAAAGGTCTTTTAACCTTCCTGTAAAGGTTGAGGATGCTCACTTTGTAAATAGCTCACGATAGTTTCATGTAAGGTATGGCCTGATTTGAGCGCCACTAGCCATCACAGACTGAACATTAGAAATGCTGCACTTGACTTCTAAAGGAGTTGGTAATCTCTAAGCATAGCTTTAGAAAGCGCTTGAATCTGTGATAGTTTGTACTGGACAGCGGGCATGGGATTGTCTTACGTAATATCATCGGTAATGCCAAGCGCCTTATACTTAGAGACAGCAGAGGTTTGCGGTCTCTCGCGTCCGCATTTTAATTTTAATAATTTTGTATTTATTACCACGCTGAATAATATGACTGCAAAGGATATAAATTGCAGTTTGTTTTTTAAATACCTCTGTAAATTTATACATGTATGTTTTGGCAACGTTTATTGGCCAATTAAGCCTGTATCGTGACGTGATAGTATATAATTCATGTACCTCCTTAAAAATATGCCCTTAAAATCACATACTCGTATATGTGTAATGATACTGTAACGTTATTGTGGCGAATTTATAATAATTGCGAATTGATCTATTCCACATTCCGATATGACGAATCTAAAATTTATCAATCTACCGGATTAGTCGGCGTTTACTCGCCGAGCCACTGGTCCAGTCCATCATAGTGCAGTGCATTGTGACTTTGATGGTGATTCGACCAACTATGTTTATTCGCGAGTTTAATAGTCACTGCACGGCTTAAACCGAGCTCAACAGCTCGAAAGCAATTCCATTCAAAAAAATTAACTGGACGAAGTGACACTTGTTGACAAATGCATGTGCGCTTGGAACCGCATCATCATCATGTCCAGATCCTCCGGACTACCATAACGCAACAAATACGTCACGGGTGTAAACTCGTTGTCCTCTCTCGAGTCCTCATTTGCCTCCAAAACAGTCAACTGCATTGTCTTCTCTGTCTTCTTCTCACATAGTAAGCACGAGCCCAAACTGGCATTCAGTAGCAATTTGGTACCAGGTCCATGAGGATATGACTCACGTCGCATTACCACTCGCGCAGTTACTTTATCAACCGCAGAGTCTTTGGCGCTCAAAACCCGCAAAGGGCCAATTCCGACTTCTGTGTAGTCCTTCTCTACTAATTTAAATAGCTTTGCACGTTTCTTCAAGGTATCAATGCGAACATCATAGCTGTCAACAAATCTTGATTTTATCTTGAGTAAGAGAATTATCATATATCCGTACCTCGACCAAAATGTGTTCCCCCTCTTCCCCATTTGCCAACTATGCATTTATCCAAGCAAAAATTGTGTCAGATCGAGTACTTCCATTCGAAACATGAGAAAAACATAAACTTACTTCAGCTTCTGTTAATGCTGGGACTACTGGCTCCACTTTTTGAGCCACGTCTGAATCCAAAAAGTCTGTTGCCAGTGCTGATGAGGCTTTAGCACCAAAATCATCTGGCGACGATTGTGCTGTAGCAAACGACGCAAATGTTACAGGAGACTTGCCCTGAAACGACGCAAATCCCCCAGATTGACTTGAACTGGCAATGCTTGTGATTGACTGTGTTGAAGTATCATCAGCAGTCGATGTCTCAGCTGTAAATTTTGCAAAACTAGGCTCGTTCGTAGACGAAGGTTTCGTGCAAAACCCATTCGTATTTGCAGGCGTTGTATATGCCGCAAATGCATTTTTACCACAAAATGCACTAAATCCACCAAAAGCACTCCCATTGGTGTTTGGCTTGACCTCCTTCGGCACCTTTTCGTTCGTGTTACTACCTGCATCCTGCTTCGTCACAGGTGACGACATCTTTTGAACTGCGTCCTGTAACAATCACTCATTGTTATAAGCAACAGTAACGTTTGAATAAGAAACAGTAAAACTATAAACGGACCTCATGACTCCCAATTTCTGGCTGTGGTATGGCGTCTTCGTCGATTTTAACTTTCTTGACATCCTCCGCCACATTAGCGTCTTCATCTAGCCGCACTTTTTTAATAGTCTGATATTGGTGCACAGCATTATTAGTTAGACATTTATCAAATACAATCGATTAGAGGAGAGAAGAAATTGCACCGGTTGGTGTTCGTTGTCCACCGTCTCTGGTTTCTCGTGGTCGCCCTTGGTGGCCATTGTGCTTGGACGAGTCTCCTCCTGACTGGTCGCTTTCTAGAAATCTGTCATTGGCAGAAATTCTATTTTAGCCTGAACATGATGTGTCAACAAGACTTTTGGGTAAGTTAACATGTCTGCAAAATACGTCCTTTTAAATTTGAGCACTTGATTGATAACCTGATAATTTTATCATTATCGTAAACAAACTTGAAAATAGGAGCCTTAAAGTGTCGATGAATATATTGCGGAGACTTAGGTGCTGATGTCCTTTACATTGCATGTTTCGAAAGACTGCTTAGCTAGATGTGAACTTTATGTTGTTCTATTGCTCTATAAGATCTATCGAACATACCTCAGCGTTACCAGAAAAGTTTGTACAATTGGACTTCTTTCGTCCTAAAATTGTATTGGATAGGTTCTTTACTACTAATGCTCTAATGTTGCGCCAGTGAAAAAAAAATTTACATTCTCATTTGCATGCAAATTATTCTTGATCATTCCGACGCTCCCGTTGGCGATGATGACAGCCGGAAAGCAAAATCACGAGTACGTGAGCTGGCAGATGAGTAAGATGTACTAAAACTGTCAAGGAGAGAAATGGACTCTTTTGGTGTATTGCGACCTTCTTGATGTGACCCTGGAATCCACGAGTTTAAGTCGTCAAGTGTAAGTTGCGGCCGTTGCTTTCTTTGAGTGTTCACCTCTTGCTTTCGTGGCTCTTGTTTCTTATCTTTACGACGCAATAAGTCCGCAAAAGTCGCAAGCACTCCAGTCTGATTCGTGTCAACAGGTTTGATATTTTCTATGTCTTCTGGAATCAAATCAATGATGGGCGGGTCCAAGCCATCAAATTCAATCGAATTTTGAGATCGTGTCGACGCCCATCTGTCACCACTGAAGTTTGACGATACACTTGGTGGAAAATCATTCATACTGAAGACGCTGTAGCTCACACGGCGTACACACGACACGCATACACGATGTTTCTCTACAAGCCCCACGCTTTTTTCTACATCGTGTACATTTGAACACTTTCGACAAGTGTAATGGGCACATAATCGACAAAAATATTTCCTTCGTAGCATTTTAAACGGAGTGTAGCATGTTGCACAGTATGAAGATAAAGTGGCTTCATCCTGGGACACAGGAAATGGAGATATTGGATAGAACCCTAAGCGACGTCGAAGTACTACAGCTTCGAGAAGGCAGACTTTAGCTACCATACCACGTAGAAGTTGTGCGGCCGAATGAGGCTGCTTTGTGGAGCGAAGCTGATGAGTTGAATAAAAGAATACACGCGTCAATTTTGCGTCAGAATTTTCCTTAATGACATACCCGGCAAAAATCCCTCTCAGTTCCTGACGTATGTCGTCACCATTTTGGATCTGAAATGGGCTGTAATGCTCTTCACAGTTTGAAGCGCACGTTGATGATGACATAGTTACAGAACTAGTATCAAGTTCTTCTTCTTGTACATCCAATGTCTGCATGACGCGAGTAAAAGACTTTGTCTCTATCGTTTCGTCTAGATAATCTAGAAATGTCAAATTGCGTTGTTTCCAGACTAAGCGATGTTTCTGCATCAGAGAGACTGCATTTAAATTAAGCTTGGCAAATTGATGTGATGGATTGCAATCAGTCATCAAGTCTGCACTGATTCTTGATGATAGCTCTGAGGCTCGAGAATTATCTCTTGCTCTACCCACGCGCGAGGTAACACCTGATTCTTCCGTACGTAATACGCAGTCCACACTGCGGACGTTTACACCATAAACGTACTGATCCCCGAAAACTGCTTCCATACTACGATGGAATTCAGCGTCATTGCTCGTTGAAAAAACACTCACAATTTCTCGCAAGGTGCACGGCAAATTCATGACAACCATAACACTAAATTGATCTTTCATCTTACTAAGTGATTCGTAGACTTTACAGTTTGGCTTAGATCTTGCAAGTTTCTTCCATCGTCCCACTTCTTCTCGACGCTCAGACACGGCTTCTAGCTGCTTTTTTGCTCGTTGAATGATTGCTACAAGTACATCGTCTGGCACGAAAGCTGATGTTGAAAACATCTGTGAAGAGATAAGTCCCTGCTCCAGCGCCTTTGTTGCACCCGCAGCTGCTTCATTTGACGATACAGATGAAAGCAAGTCAATATTTCGATTGCTTTCGAACGATGCTCCATTGCAATCATACATAGTTTCGACTTGCGTGGCTGTTTTAGCAGATAATAACAAATGTCGACTTCTTCCACTTGATAGTACATTAAATCGGCTTTCTGACTTATTCATCATTATCTTTGGTGGCAGTGTCAATGCTAATGTAGTTGGTAGATTTTCATCTTCTTCACTTGCAAACCTTCGTCGGGCCCAGCGAATTTGCTCCTCTTCCTGCTGCTTGTCTTCTTGGTAAATCTCACGTTGAGTATTGACTTCAACTGCTGACGCTCTCTTAACTTCGTGTCGTATGGCCATTGAATTAAAACAACGTATGAAGAAGTGTCTATGCTACACAAGTGAGATCGAGTGATTGCTGTACGCTAACTTCCCATAATTTACCCGTTTCCTTGCGGCGACGCTTGCCATACGGTAAACGTTACGGAGTATGACCAAAAATTACAAGAGAAAGTCACATGCACTTTCTGAAAATTCCATCAGCTAATTCTTGAAAGTTTTCTTTGTAATGAGTTTCTCAGATTTTACGACATTTCAAGATATCCATAGAATCTTATGTTTTGATAGAGCTATTTGATAATATTACCTATCAAATTTAGATTGAGAGAATTTCAAGTTTGCAGACGTTTTACAATTTGATTTTTGATACCAAAAGTGGTTATTTGACTGCACAGTTTTACACTTGACTTTGATCGAAATGATGATTTGTACCGAAACGCTCACATCATTTAATTATCAGTACTTCAAGCGCTGAATTGTTTACATGGTGGAACTCTGCAAAGTATGAGCTCAAATATTTTGTTAGCTTCCCATACACATATCGCTGTCAAAATTATGTGTTTGTGCAAAGTAACGGCATCACTTGTTAAATATGTGTGTTGGTATTAGTCTTATCTATCAATGTATCAGTCAACATCTTCACTCAAGCCGTGAAATCCTCTTCAATAAAGCTTATAGGAGTATGGCTCATCAAGAAGCGTGGCATTCCACACTGCTCTGCTGTGCAAAACTTTCGCAAAAATCTACTGTTATGAGCACACCCTCGTCATCCATGTCGCTACGTCGTCTCGTGAGATATTGCCGTGTTTGTAGCCGTTTTTTCTATTAAGGCTTTGCCCTGTGAGTTTTTACAATACCGAACTATTTCTGGTGTGCTTTGAACATACGAGTTTGTTTGGTACAGAAATCAAAATCAAAAATAATGGTGTTTAACAGTCACCGACATTCGATCAACTCTAACGCCGAAACACTTTTGCCGGAAATTTAGATAGGATGGCTAACTTCTTCTCCGGTGGCATCATCGCTATCGTCAAAATGTAGACGCCTTCCGAAGTCGAATTTTGTTCTGTTCTGGCGAGAATCGTAAGCATTATGCATCTTACGTGAATGTAGCAGTTTGTTGGTATATACAGTTACGTCAGAGTATGTCGACGTCGAGGGCAAGTAATCGCACGATACAGTGTCAGGTATTAGATAGACATCAGAGTCGGAAGCATTTGAGTAAAAGCGAGAATCAACATCCGATCGTGTCACTTGCCAATCTCTCCGATCATTTGACCAGCATTGTACATTTATCGTTTTAAATTTTCTACTTGGAAACGTTGCGCATACGTACAGTCTACAAGCCGCGCTTAATTTCATACGGATTCAGATCTAAAGTGCACGACCTTAAATTACATAAAGAGCCTTAAGTCTCTCTAACGTTCAGCCAGCTCACCACTTTGGTTTGTCATTATCATTGATGTAGTCTTCCTGTCAGTGGCTTCACCATGCATAAATACCCTTCGTTTCAAGAGCTCTTTTGAGCAAAAAAACGAACAAAATGCGCCATCGTATTACGGCTAAATAGCATTCTGTCACTACAAAGCCGTCATTAGACTTTCATACATTCTGTGGCGACAGGTAGCTTTTCGCCAAAACAACGATTGTGCTTTAATCAAAGCGTCTTCTGCAGATCATTCGCTCCAAATTAGAGCACAGCACTGAATAAATCGTGAGGCGGCTTACCTGTCACTTAACAATAAGCTTTGCTTGTACTGCTTGTGAGCCCCACATCTGAGGACAATTGCCATATTTATGGCATGTTTTTCATAAAGTAATTCTTGTTAAATTTGGGTCTGAATCGGTCGAAAGCGACAATACGTCGGAACGTTGTGATAATTTATTGTCGATCGTGTGACCATCGTATTTATTTGATTAGATTCATTTCACTGAACTCACCGCCGTGAGCCTTATCGCGGTCACAGTCATATCACACTTTGAATCTTACTCACGCTGCTTGCCCAAAGGTCTGCGTTTGCAGAGTCAAAGCAGAAAGAAACTTATTTTGGAAATGTTGAGAAGACGAAGTGAGCAGTAGAAGGCAAGTTTGGAAGTAAATGTA